GTTTGTATTCGAAAATAACCTATAAAATAAACACTATTCTGCAGTGCATTAGACTTTAAACTGGTGATTGAGACTATAGATTCATAATAAAAGTCTTTACTGTGGCATTAATTAATTGGGAAGTGATGCTATTACCATACAGTACTACTTTTTGCATCCATAAGCTTACCCAACTGCAGCATAGAACTAATGCATTTTCAAACAATTTCACTTTTCAGAGCCAGATTTCATCCATATTTCATATATATAGACTATAGTTACATCTCAAATATAAGGTAGTATTGGAACAGTAAGCCAAAACTTACAAAGCTAGTATAATTGCACGCAAAAGCTTTATAAGAGTGAAAAAGAAACTAGGCAAAAATAATTTGTTCATACCGAAACTGCAGATTTGGATCATGCTAATAGCTAGAGATAAAGCCATCCTTTCTAGAAAGAATAATAAGCATCTCCTTGAGTAAAGGTGCGAGTTATAGCTTCCCAAGGCTATTGCTTCTCTGAGTTCAAAGGTCAAACCCATAGACTGCTGTTTGACCGTAGAGGAAAAAAGGGTTGTGACATGCTAAACTGAATCCTTTTGCTGTCATTTGTTCATGCCTTGCTGAGGCTGGTCTGCTGGGCTGAAAAACATTTTCATATTAATATTACACAAAACCATGAACCTTAACATTACTTTTATTAAAGGTTGAGAGCACAAATGTATATTGGCGTTATAAATATCATGAGAGTATTCAGTGGCTTCACTCTCATGATCACATGACACATAACTCAGAGGTCAGAGGTTAGGTCACAGGGGCCTTGTAATTAGTCTGGCTACAAAGCATAGAATAGCATCATAGCATGAGCACCGTTTATGGCATCTCACCCCTGACCTATGGCTCCTAGTCTCTAAAATATCCCCGTGGTAGACAGTGGTAAACAGTATACAGGAAAGTGAACTTTCACCCTAGAGTACGGCAGAACCTCAAAGGGGAGTTACTATATATACCTCAACATGAGAATTCAAACTAGAATTAAACTTCAATTTTAATTTCATCGGTAAGCGTACAATGTAGTGCCTAAATCCCAAGAGGGGGAGTGTACCTTAAATCACAAATACTGCAGTAAACGTCGTAAGCCAGCCATAGGTGCTGTGTTTTATTGAGACACAAGCAAACAAACATGCAAATATATTTTAAAATCCAAAAACAGAATTCAAACAATTCTAACAAGCTTGAACGTCAAGGTAGGTAGTCTTCAGGAATAGTGCTCCAGACTTCGTGAAGGACATTCAGAGTTCTTCTTTGGATGTTGCCCAAAACAATATGCTCAGAGATTAAGAAAACACCCCGATGACCTTTACAGTATCTTCTTGGAGTCCATTTCTCAGTGGAATAGAGCTGTTTATTAGGCAGGGGTGCGGCCATGCGTTTTGTGTGCAATACATAAACACGAATCTGTTAAAGAAAAGCCGGTACAGGCTGTTCGGTTGGAGTGCTGGGCCATACACGTTCTACTGCAGCCTGGGGGAGTAACAGTAAGAGCCCTCCTCCAGAAATGTGAACACACTGGTTCTCCTCTGTGGCGTTTCAAAGCACAAAGCTGGATGCCTATTTAAAAAATACAAAAAGACAAAATCACAAGTACAGTACACTCACTCATACAGACACTTAGGCATGCCAGTAAAGTGTCTGTCCCTCTGCTTAGCTTGCATAACTTAGTTAAAAAGAACTAACTGTGAGTCATCCCTATGTGAACACCAGAGGGAAGGCTTTACTATCACAAGTATGACTGTGTAGATGTGGGTGTGTGGTATCAGTTAATAGGCTGACATCTCTTCCTTTCTTTTCTCATATGATGCACACGCAGATACATTTGTCACTGCAACTACTTTAGAAACAAATATTCCTGTAAGACTGGTATTTTGGGGAAGAACATACAAAGCCTCTGAATTCTAAGCACTACCTTTCAGTGAATGTGCTGACAGCCATTTCTTTATTTGACACTAAAAGATTTCGAAGAATGAGAAGCCGTATAGTGTAAAGGTGACAGTGACAAAAATAAACAAATAAATGAATAAAAATAAATCTTCCAATATGATCTTCAATCAGCAACTGGTTAGAGTCTCTGTTGTTTTCCCATAAAGTTCTGTGTAGTTTTGTTGGATTCTCCGGCTGCCATGGCCTCCCTACCTCAATGCCAGCTGCACTGGTAGTGTCTATTATTCATCACCTCCACTCCCAGGCTATTTATACCAACTTTTACAGCCAGTCTGTCTTTCTGTTCGACTGGCTGCATCCATCTACTTGAATAGAGCTATCTCAGCTTACAATTTTAGGCTGCCTCAGAGTTCTTGGCCAGATACAAAATCACTTCAAGTTTAAATGCTTTCCCATTTAAAAGAATATTGCAATCTTAAACCCTGCAAATTCAAGTTCTTTTCATAAAATACTTGGTGCTTTCATTTTTTTTAAACATTTCTAGTACCTGAATGTGTTCACTAGCAATATATTAACTGTTAAGTAGCAAGCACAGCAACATAAATTTTGTTTCATGTGCCTTGTTAGAGTATATGATTATTCTACTCCACATCTTCATGTGCAATTTAAATTGCACACGCTGCAGCTTGCCATTGGATTGCTCCCTGAGGCATGGACTTCACTGAAAGAGCCTCCAATCTCCCATTTACCCACAAGAAGAGTACGGTCATGTCAACTCACATGGGAGCAACTTACATTCAAATGAAAATGCAATTTAAGCAGCCACGCACTTGTTATCGGTAGGCAGAGGTGTGCATACTGTCTGAGATAGAAACACTGTTTGTGTCTGTATGTATTACTGTGTGTGTGCATGCGTGCGTGCGTGTGTGGGTGGGTGGATGCTGGTCAGCATGGGTCACAGCTGTTCAGTCAGATTTCTGAATGAATGGATAGCCCAAGATTTTTTAATTTCAGCCCAGCTTCCAACGTGATATTTCAGCAGTTTGACACTCATTGCCTGTGTGACATGTACACCAGAAGTTTATATTTACAGGAAATAGCAATTAATAATTTAAAGTAAGGATTTTTTCCCTTATGTAGGTCCTGATCAGCACTAACACACTAACTTGTGGATGTTCGCCTCCACTGATACATACGTATTCTTTTAGTTTCTTTAAGTAAAAATGCACAAACTGTGTGACAGGATTTTTAATCTTAATAAAAAGACAAAAGCTGTTTGGATTAATTTGTGCTGGAGAACAAAACCAACAGCTAATTGTTACAACTGATTCGCGAAGAGTAAGTGCCCCCTCTAGAGGAAGATTGGTGTATTACACAGTGCAGAATTTATATTCATCAGTTTTATTGTTGTTACCACTTTGCAGGATTTCCCTGCAGCAAAATGCAATTTCATTTAGAGCAAGGAAATCACTGTGACTTTCATTTGCAGTAACTTTATTGTAAATTAGATTTACAGCAAGGTTTTTCATTTAAATTTGCAAAAAAAAAGTTACTGTAAAATTACAGTAACCTGTTCATAGTGTTGTAAATGTGAGGTTAATTAATTTACAAAATATTAAAATGTCTTTTTAAAGTTGCCTGATTTTTTGTTTTGTACTGTATTGTAGTGAAACATCTAAAGCCAATTTTAAGCCAGTTTTTCCCAACCTTGAAATACTTCTCATTGCCTTTGAGATATTTGGAGATAAATCACCTGCACGGATCCTACATCATCTTTTATTTTCCAACAAGACAATGACCCCAAACACACCTCCAGGTTGTGTAAGGGCTATTTGACCAAGAAGGAGAGTGATGGCGTGCCAGATGGCCTGGCCTCCACAGTCACCTGACCAAAACCAAGTCGAGATGGTTTCAGGATGAGATGAACTGCAGAGTTAAGGCAAAAGGGCCAACAAGTGCTCAGGATGGGAACTTCGAGACTGTTGGAAAACCATTTCAGGTAACAGGGTTCATACACATTTTTCAGAGTCAAAATTAAGCACTTTTAAAGCACTTTCAGGGTCTATTTTCAAGCTTTTCCAGCACATTACCCCCCCCAAAAAATGCATGTTTCACTTTGCATTACCTCAGTAGAGCCATGTAAAATTAAAACAAATCATCCTAGGTTGACTTAAACACCTTTGTTATCCCTTTGTTAAAACATAAAAAATGAACCACACAAAAAAACTGAAAAAAAGAAAAGGTGGCCTTATATGCATAGTGTATAAACTCAAAACACACACTTGCATTAAAAATTAAGAAACAAATCACCTTGTTAGAGATATTCATCTTGTGTTGAAAAGAACCCAATCCTAAAAAATATAAGAAAACTGCACCAAAATAAGGTCAAATTAGTAAGTCCTCTCACCAAATATTGATGCGTCTTTCCTATTTAACAAAAACAAATAGGAGACAGATTCTTTTTAAAAGTTAATTCCCCAATAAAACTAACTGTAAGATGTTTAACTACATTGCTATGGGCGATCGTGGCTCAAGAGTTGGGAGTTCGCTTTGTAATCGGAAGGTTACTGGTTTGAGCCTCTGCTTGGACAGTCTTAGTCGTGTCCTTGGCCAAGACACTTCACCCATTGCCTACTGGTGGTGGTCAGAGGGCCTGGTGGCACCAGTGTCTGGAAGCCTCGCCTCTGTCAGTGCGCCCCAGGGTGGCTGTGGCTACAATGTAGCTTGCCATCGTGAATGTGTGTGGGTGGATGACTGGATATGTAAAGCGCTTTGGGGTCCTTAGGGACTAGTAAAGCGCTAGATAAATACAGGCCATTGCTGTTTGTATTAATGTTGAAGTCCTAAATTATCATCTTTAAATATTTAATCTTTCTCACTGCTTTTCTTGAACAAGCTAACATAAGAAAAACTGGAAGATTTCAGCCATAAAATGGTCACTGAAAATGTCAGTGAAATCTATGGTGCCCTTTTCCAGTAACTGACTGGTGTTTCATCCTTACATGTTTTAGAGGATCCAAACAGGTTAAAAAGGGGCCACCTTCAACTACAAGATCAATCACACACACAAAAACAAACAACTTAGATGAACTATTTATTTTTTTCCTTAAGTATACAATTGTTCATCACTTGTGCGTTACCAATTCTTTGGGATGCTCACCTGGAAACATAACCCCATTCATACAATTGTCATGAGGAACAAACAGGACAAAGCATAGCTCATCTACTTCACTGGTGACTAAAAGTCACAGAGAACTGAAAAGGACAAACTGTCACATCAAGTAGCTCTATTGGTCTTGTTAAGTGCTCTATGAAAAACAAAACTAAACTCAGTGCTTCATGTTCTGTTAAGTTGATTACTGGGTAATTCCAATGACTCCACAGGCCAGACGTCCACCAGCATTACCGGTCTTCAGGCTCTCTTCATTTCCTCCTTTTCCCAGGTCATCAGCCTTCTCGTGGATCTAATACAAAGGGCAAAAAAGGTTTTCATAAACAGTTCTCAAAGCTAAGCCACATACAGTAACTTGAGGCTCGCAATCTGGAATATATCACTTTCACATATAATGAGAATAAAAGGGAAATGAAAATAAGCAGAAAGGAAATGAACAAAGTGACAAAGGACTGTCATTTTTCACTTACCACCATAGTTCTTCCAATGATGGAGTCACGACCTGTGAGGGAGATAATTTTGTCCGTGATGTCAATCTTGGCAACATTATCTGCTCCTGCAGTCACATTCCCCAGGTCTCCAACATGCCTGTTTACAAAGGAAAAACAAAACAACCTTGCTTTTATCCAGGGGTGTCAATATGGAAAATATGAAGGAGAAAATATGGAATAGTAACTGTTTTCATACTTTTTACAGCTTTTCCTATTGATGCAGGTTTTCCCCATGATCATTTGTACTACAGCAAAGTAATTAAGTACCAGTCAAAAGACAGATAGTTAAAAAGTAAAATAAGTAAATAAATAAAACGTAATAGTTCAAAGAGTTTTTTTGTTAGTTTTTTTTGTTTTTGTTTTGTTTGTTTGAACCACCTACACTACCGCTCTGAGCCACATGTGTATAAATAATAAATATTTCATGGATGGAATATAACCTACAAAAATCTTAAGATTTACAAACATCACCTTAAGATTGCTTAAGTCTCTTTTATTGTGGTGAATTTTGTTTTAATGATACAACACTGCAGAGTGTGACGATGGCATATGCTGGCCTTACAGTTAGGATTCATTCCACATAATCTATCCAGTTTGAAATCAGCTGAGCATATTGTTTGTACGTTCCCTTCTCTGACTTTCCTGCATCACTTTTAATTATCACAGGTTGCCTAAACTGGTGACATTTAACCTTTGTTCCACATACATGCAAATCAAAGCTACAGTCAAACCTAGTGTAACGTGAAAGTATTAAGCATCATCACCTAACACAGACTGCATGCAAAATTCTGCAAACTCACCTGGGCCATTTCTATATGAGAATCAATCTATTCAAGCAAACAATTTGCAACTTTGAGTTAACTGAATGATAAGTAATCCAAGGCTATTTTTGGTCTTCCTTAAAATGACAGCCATATCACAACAGGGCCCCTCTTGACATGATCTGAAGCTTATTTTTAAAGCACCCTACTGAATCTTTCAGTCCTTTGTAACCATTTATATTACCTCTTATTGTAGCCACTGCTGAGAAGTAGTGATGGTGCAATGAAGCCCCGTGAATGTGTTGAATCTTTCTGGCCAATTGCTTCGCCAGAAGGCAAATCACAAGAAGCTCATTTGAAAGTACTGACATTTACTGGTCATTCAATGTACAGCAGCTCTGTTGTGATAATACGTGTGCTACATACCAGTGAATATGTAAAAGTAATATATACCTCAGAGATTGATTTGAAAAGATATGTTATTATTACTGGGAGGTATCATGTTAAAATCCTCCCTAACTGCTGATATTTTTTTTGGCCTTTTTGTTGATCCATAATGTGCATAAAATCTCCTTGTAACTTCGTGATGATCCTCAGAATGACCTCAGATCCAGTTCATGAAAAAAAATTAACTCCCACGTCTTTTTAACAGCTCGAATCACATAACAAGGAAGTCAGGCAAGTGGCCACGTGATATTCTAAAGAATACAGGCCTAGACAAAGGTTTTATTTGGACACACCCACTTTGCTTAACACGGGCCTTGGGACTTCAGTGTCAGACGTAATATTACTACTGATATGCAATATATTAACTTTTTATACTGATACTTTTTCTTCAGACTCGACTCACCTTTCCGCATCATTAGGTCCAGCATGATTCTTGCTGTAGGGATTGAAGTGTGGACCTGCACTAATGCACCCTGGGAAAGAAAATATATATTAAACATATTGAACTATTGCAAATTTAGTCTAGATTACCTAACCTAGGTGATACAGTAACATTATCAAATTCTGAAAATTAAGAAATCCAAGTCTCTTTGGATTTGAATCTCTCACACACAGAAACTTACCGTTTGTGTTATCTCCAAAAACATGGACATGGAAACCATGCTCACCAGGGGTAAGGCCTTTGATTTCTCCTTTCAGCTTCACAGGGGCTGAGTCATTCTAGCAGATCAAAAACACAAATACAAAAGAAGCTCTCTAAGCCAGGTGGCTAGAAGGACAGGAATATTGAATGAAGATTACTTCCATTCATGCTGTTGAACGGAAGTAATCATTTCTTATAATCAGGTAAGGAGAGGAAAAACAAAACCGGGCTGTAGGATTTGGTGCCAAAAAATTAACAGACCTTTCAGATATACTACAAAAGGCACACTCTCAAATATAAACCTAAAAGATCTTATTAAATCGAACTACAACAACAGTAATGTTCAATAAGTTTGTTTTAAGGCATGGTACGGTTAGTTTAAACTGCACAATCATGCTTTCTGAAAGTTATTACTGGAGGGTGCAATGCATTTTCTATGGAAAAGGACAGGTGATCATTCATCACGTCTACACAGCAGGAAATCTCTTAGAAAACTACCTTTAAACCTCCAAGCACCTTAAGGCAACTGTTGTGATTTGGTGATCTAAAAATTTTTAAATGCACTGAACTGAAATCAAATGATTGGTTACAAATATTACTTATACACTGTAATTTATACACAAAGTTTGCTTTGATGTGAATGAGTCCGTCTCTTTGATAGTGGACCATGTGTCTTTGACGGTTGCACCGTGCACTTTACCCTTATCAAGAAGGCCAAATAAACGAAAGGCAACGAAAACAAGGACAGGCAATGACTCGGCAAAAAATAACGAGCAAATTCGCGTTTGCTCGTTTTGACGGATCACAATAATATCGAAGCATTTTGCCGGCTGTTTCGGAGTTACAGCAAAAGCATTACATGCAGAAGTGCTTGCCTGGTTAATGAAACCACATCTGGCCGTCTGTTTTATACTGGCCCTGCAAACGTTAAATTTACGCAACAAGCGTCTTTCTTATACAAACAGCCTGGGCGGGCCTTAAAAAACACACCTTTAACCATTACCACTGCACAGGCTTTAGTGGTCAAAGGTTACTGCTATAGTGACAAGCCAGTGATTTCATATATCCTGCTAAATGCGTGGTTTACACAAGCAACCTACTTTGAAGTGCAGAGTAAACTGAGGTTAATTAGCAACGGGGTGGCGTTGAATATGAGACCAGACTGCAAGAAAACCCACGCAATTGTGCACGAGCTGTCATTCACAAGCTAACGCGTACCTAGCTAGCAAGCCAACAGCGAACTAACCATTAGACAAGCTAAAGAGAGCAGAACTCGGCTAGCTTAGCCGTCAGCGATAACGGTAGCGTTTCGCTTTTAAACGGCTAAATGCGTAGTTTGTGGGATGTTTTTTTTCTCTCAACTTCAAAGAAGAATAGCCCGTCTTACCTCCTGTTCAAAATAAACTGTCCCACTAGTGTCGCTAGTTCCCTTCAAAACGCAAACAGCTTTCAGGACCATCTTTGCAGAAGTTTCAGACACGACACCCAGCCGTGGTCTTGCTTTTGACAAGCGATTACGCGATACTACATAACTAATAGGCGGGTGTATGCTACATCAACCAATCAGAATCAAATAAAATTAAAAAGGGCACATTTCGATTGGTCACCGCTACGACAGTGTCTTATCAGACAGATGGAACAAAATCTCTATAACGACTTTATAAAAATAATTAAATATATAAAATACACAGATAAGTGAGAAATAAATTTTTTTTTCGAGAGTAGATCTGAGAAAGTTCCCTGTATTTAAAAAATGTCATATGCATCCTTGTGAGTAGGGGTGGGTTTTAATAATCGATTCATCGATTAAAATCGATTCTGGCTTGGATAACGTGATATAGATTCATTAAAATCCTGAATCGATTTTTTATATAAATGTATTTTGCCCAAAATTCCGGAATCTCAGCTCACAAAATTTTGACAACCACCAAACATTTAAAACAGTAAATGAGAGCAGGTACACGGCTTCTGCACAAAGAGGTAAACACAAAGCGCAGACCGCGGATCAGAATCAGTGAGATGTCGCCTTTCTCACCCGACGGCACGGACACGGTCGGGGCTGAAAGCCGACAGCTCGCTGATTCTGATGTTTTGGCGGGTCCGCGCTTTGTGTTTACGCCCCCTTTGCGCTGATTCTAAAGCTGTTAGTTTTATCTCTCCCCGAACAATATTGACCGAACCAGCAGCAAAAGAAAATCCAAACTAAGCTTCACATAAACATCGTCAAGGACTCGCTCTTACTTTTGCTGTTTTGCTTCCACCACGATAAAAATCACACTTCATGAGTATATGTTTACTGCTGCCATAGGAGTTGAGAGTAAAAAAAATCATAATCAAACTGCTAATCAAATTAAATTGATTAGTGTGAACACTGCTACAAAAGCAGAAATTTTGACAATTTGTAGAAAGATATCAGCAATGATCTTAGAGGAGCATCTGTTGCTGCCCATCAATCTGAGAAGGCGTATAGGCCATTTCCAAACAAAACCAAAGCCAGCATATCAGCACGAGCACTACACTAACTGCCAAGCACTGTGATGGAAGAGTGATGATCTGGCACCTTATCACTGCGGGCACCAAGCAGACCATGTGGTGGTACTCCTCCGTGTACCACAGTCAAATGTGAGGCCATCTATGTTACAGCTAAACCTTGAACAAAATTGAGTCATGCAGGAAAACAATGGTCCCAATCACAGCAACAAATCTACAACAGAATGGCTGAAAATGAAAAGATTCGAGGTGCCACAATGGCTCAAAGTACACACCTCAACCTGCCTCAAGTGCTGTGGCAGGATCATAAGTAAACATCATACATCATACTACATAAGAAAAAAAAATTGAACACAAAAATAATTTGGTACAAAAATAGTTTATTAAAAACAATATCCTATGGTTGAAATATTGAAGATTTAATGTCCATGTCTTCTGCTTTTTTTTTAACAAATCATAGAAACATCTGTCAATTTTCAAACCACTAGGAGTTAAAAACGTTAAAGCAAAGGGCCTCTGTTGTTCCTTCCAAGTCGACGCGTTTCTCTCAGATAAAGAAATCACAGATTATTAACAGAAATTACTGCGTGTCTTTCAAAATCGTCAGTGATACAAGCATATTTACAGCAGTGTCCCAAGCAATGTTCTTCATCTCATCGCGTTAGATATACCCTCTGTCTCTGTTTGTGTGAAATTGTTCGGGAACAAGTATTATGCTTGCTGAATCTGGGCTTGTGATTTTAACAATATCAGATACAGTATGTCTACAGTGATACGGAGACCAAGTTAGTAAGCTGTGTTTTATCAAAGAGCATAAAAGCAAATAGCCACAGGATTCATTCTGTATTTCCATGTAGTCAAAACTAATTTATGACTGTGATGGATGGACGAGAAAGATGGGAAATGCTTCCAAAACACAACAGGACTCTTGTGTGTGATCCAAAAATGGACTTCTACTAAGAGACAAACAACCACGTACACAGAAACTTGTATCTATCCTTGTGAGAAGTGCAAGAAACCCGGGACCCTATGTTATTAGTATTTGGCTTACGAAAATTGTTCTCCCATGTCTCAGCAATTAGGGGACAAAAAAAAACCCCTAAACATTCTAGCTCACAAGAATCTAAAGCTATTTACATTTTTCCTCCCCCTGAAATTTGTTAGGTTATTTTCCAGCAAAACATAGTGTTAGGAGTTATGAGTTATTTCTGATCCTCACAGGGTTAATCAAAATGCTCAATATCCACCTAAGCTTGGGCCTGAATATTTGCACATTCTGCATAGTTAACAATAAAATAAGATTTTTATCTGCTGAATCTGAGGAAGTCTTTCTTTAGCTGAGGAAATAAAAAACAAAATGCGCACACACACACACACGCACATTAGGTACGAATGTCTTAGACCAGAGGGGGGGGGGATAACGTTTTCAGTGGCATTTTACTTGCACAACTTTATGCTGCAAACATTGTTTTCAAAATTTGGCAGGCAGTATAATTCTTAACTTTACCAGTAGCGTCTTCTTTGTTTCTACTTTTGATGATCTGTTATTCAAGGTGACACGTTGATTTGCTTGCAAAGGACTTTTATTTAAGCAAGACAATTTCTGAATGTTCAGATCACTCTACCAAAACAAAGCCAACCTCGGGCTTTTATTGACCTCATGTCAATATCAAGCTTAATCTACTTTACAGATTTTATTATAGATTTATACTGCCTCTGTTATAGTTTAGGTTCTTGGTTATGACCAGTTATACAGGTTTGTATCATATAATCAAATCCAAACACAATAAAAGATTCTGAGAGCTAACACACTGGGATCAGCGATGTTGTGACGATACAGTTCGATAACAACAAGTTTTATGTTTGTTTTTTTAAAGAGATCCTGTACTAGCGTGTCTTTAGAAGTAATATAAAAAAACTGTTATGCTGTGACTTTTTAAGGATACGGTATATTTCACAAAATCATCAGTTATTGCACTAAAGCTCTGTTTTTATTCTTACTGATGTGATTCAAAGGCAGAAAGTGGGGACATAACTCAAAGAAGGGCTGTGTTATTATTCCAACGTCTAACTCAAAGTGTATATTACCCAAACATCAAGGAGTTTGTATTTTCCATTTGTCTTCTTTTTTTCCTTTTCCTTATTTTTAAATTGCAAGCCCTGCAAGTAACTGAATTTGATTTTAAGGCCACAACAACTCCTTTCAAACCTGTGCGTTCCTGGATGTGAAAATGCAATGAGAATTTAGAACACAAAAAAGCAACAAGATAATTAAAAAACAAACAAAAAAGCCTAGGTATAATGGAGTTGCTTGAAAAGTTATTCAGTGTTTGACATGATGACAATTTGGCAAATTTAAAAACAATCTAAAACAATACCATTTACATCTTTGAAAACATCCTTTTTTCCAGTAAATTAGGGGCGTGAAGTAAAAGAAATGTGTCATACAAATCAGTCGTTTCCTTCGTTGGCAAACCAACTACAGCAAAAACAAATAGAGCTACGTGAGCATGCAAACACTGTCCGTTCTTATAACCTGCAGGAAGGAGAAAAACTACGGCCATTTATCCAAAGTGATTTTCACTTGTTTTGAAACACAGGCCTAATTTTGACACGTGAAGCCTGACGACATCAATTTTCATAAGCTTAACAACATTTGTGGGAGATCTTTTCGACTTACTGCCCAGAAACTGTCAGTCAGTGACGAACAAACTGATTAGTTTGAATCAGTCTGCCAAGAACAGACTGACTATCATGGCAGAGACACGTTCCTATCCATCAGTGGTTCGCAGCAGTCTATGATGCAGCCTCCTCGTTTGCTTCTGTGGGTTCACTTTGAGCCGGCTCAGAGGGTGCCGCTTCTCCTGTAGAAGCAGTTCCCTCTGGAGGCGGAGCTATAAGTTCTGATTCTGGCTTCTTTTCAGAAGCTTCCACAACTGGCTCCTTACTGGTTTCCTTGGTAACCTCGGGGGTCACGCAAGGTTGCTCTGTACTGTTAGGGGTCCGAAATCTGTCCATGTTTTCCAGTTCGGCTAAACGGTCATCTTTGTCCCAGCGTGTGGCCCTCTCACGCCGTTCTGACCGCCTTGGCCTGTCTCCTTTTGCCTCGGCTCCTCTGCCTCTCTCACGACTTCCTCGTTCTGTTCCCTCCCCCCTCGCTCGCTCTCTATCTCCATCATCGCCCCTGGCACGTTCCCTGTCGCTATCGAGGCTGCTTCGCCTCTCCCTCCAGTCCCGCCTGTCTCTGTCCCGATCTCGTTCTCGATCCCGGTCGCGATCCCGGTCGCGATCCCTGTCACGATCTCGGTCTCTGTCTCTCTCCCATCCTCCATCTTCCTGCCATCCTCCAAGCCTGTCCCTACCATCCATTTTATCACCACCTGCTCCTCTCCCTCCATCGCCAAATGGACGCCTGCCACCTCCAAAACCTCTTTCCCTGTCTCTTTCCCTATCTCGATCCCAGTCTCTGTCCCTCTCTAGCTCTCTGTCCCTGAAACCAGGCCTGTCTCCCCTGAATGGTCTGCTATCCATTTCTTCTGGCCCCTCTAGACTCCGAGGACCGCCTGGTCGGGTAAAAGGAGGTGGACCCTGAGGAGGGGGGCCATGCCCATGAGGGAAAGGAGCCCTTAAATTGTGCGGCGGGGGCATCCCAAAGGCTCCTTTAGGCGGAGGTGGCTCATGGTGCTGCATCATTTGAGGGTGTGGCCCCCTGGGCATCATCTGTGGGGGCATGCCGGGATGAGGTGGCCTTGAGCCATGGGGTGGTGGGAAACGCTGCATGTGTGTTGGTGGGGGAACAGGAGGACGCTGGAGGGGAATCAAACCAGGCCGTGCCCCTAGAAGACCACCTGAGGGGGGTGGAATGCTGCCGGGATGGCCGCCCTGGGGCCCCACCAGAGGAGCACCTGGAGGTCCACCTGAAGGTCCACCTGGAGGAACACCTAGATGTCCGCCTGGAGGAGCACCCAGAGGTCCACCTGGAGGCAAGCCTACCTGGTTAACTAAAGACGAAAACCAAAGTATAGCATTAATATAACTACAATGTACTTATGATTAC